GGGGTCCAAGGGAAGACCCAGGCATCTGCAGCTTTTAAACCATTATCCCAGAGATAACACTCGTGCGGGGGTCCACAGTCCTACCCGTGTCAGCCAATGGCAGCCTGGGTGGGAAGCTCAACCAGGTGGGCCGATCTGGGCAGGCACGAAGCAGGGTCTGCTTCCCTGGAGCCCAGGATAAAACCTGGTTTCTCAGGTCACATGAGGAAGGCAAGGCCTCAGCGCCCTTCAGAGGCTGAAGCACACATGGGAAGGACGAGGCCGTGGCCCTGCGTTAGTATAGACCCCACCATCAAGCTCACCCACTGTCGACAGCTGCGTTCTCACCGCCCCCAGAGCGGCCCCTGGTCTCACTTGGGTGGCCCCTGGTCTCGCTGGGGTGGCCCCATTCTCCTTTAAACCCAGAAACATGGCTTCGTTCAAGGAGCACAGAATCCTCCTAAGCACATTGGGTTCCAGCAGGAATGTAGCAACTCTGGGGGAGAGGAAGGCATATGTATTTTTTAACCTTGGGATCCGCCGCTTAATTCTCTGAGGCTTGTGATTGATGACTGTGAACCACGTTACTCCACCCAGAGTGGTCATTTCAAACCTGGCCCCATCATGGTGGGGGTGGGGGGATGGAAGAGGGGATGGGAGGTAGATGATAGTGGAAAAACACGATTTAAAAAATCTGACCCTGTTGCTTCTAGTTTTCAAATCCCCAAGGCCGACCACTGCTCTTAGGGAAAACACAGGGAGGGGTCAGCAAGGCCCCAAGAACCCAAGGGGACCAGCCCTTTCCACCCTCCCCGCCTCCTCCGCCATGCTCCTCCCTCTCCGCCAGCCACCTCCTGGCTGTCCTTTGGGCCCCAGAATGTGGATCTCTGTCCCATTCAGGGTCTTGCATCTGCTGTGCCCTCTGCCGAAAATGCTCTTTCCCCACCCCCACCCCCACTCATCCTTCAGACCCCGAGCGCCCCGCGGAAGGCCTGCATGGAGTCACCCCTCCCACCATTATCCTGAGATAACGCCCCCAGAACAGCCTGCCAGGCTCCGCCCAGCAGTGATTTAAGTAATGTCCCTCCGCCCCACCAGCCTCTGAGCTCAGCGAGGACTGATCATCGCTGTTTCACCGGGGCCTGGGAAGCTCCAGGCACGAAATAAAGACTGAATAAATATTTGTGGGATGAGTGAGCACCCACAGGTCTGAGATGCCCAGTGGCTGGATATACACGCACCAGGTAAATGGACCTGACCAGCCAGGTAGGGCCATTAGTTAATTGGCAAAGAGCTCATGGGATGTTTTCCCTGCCCCCTTTTCTCCCCGTTCCACCTGGAAGGTTCCCTCAGGGTAAAGTGAACCAGCCCTCCCTCCATCCAATCTCAGTTTCAGAGGGACCCGGACTGGATCTCCTTTCCACCCCACCTGCCTAAATATCCTCGCCCTTCGGCTTGAGGTGCTGCACCAGCAAACCTTCCTCACCTAGGCAGACGGGTCTGAGCCGTGCAAATACAGCCTTTGATTCCTGAGTAAGGAAGAGCAAAGGTGGTGGAGGCAGGACCAGTCTCTGCCCCCTGGGCCCCACCCTGCCACCCAGCCAGGCACCCAGGAGGAATCAGCCTGTGCCCGCTGGCTCTGCCAACCCGAATGGGTGTCAGAGGTCACCCCAGCTTCACACCCCAGACACCCGTGGAGTTAGCGAAGCCTAGGATCTGTGACAGAGGCTGAGGAGGCCAAGCAGAAACATGCCAGGGGCCACCAACTGCATAACAAGGACGCTGCCGCGACCAGCGCAGGTGAGCGCTGCCTCCTTCGGGACAGACGCCCCGCAGCGGAGCTTCATCCGCAGCAGCCGCCTTTCCGCGGCCAGGAGCACCACCTCGCTGACTCCCCAGCAAGGAAGACAAGTCAGCCAGAGGCCCAAGCGTGCGAGTCAGGCCGTTAGAGTTTGCTGGGCTCATTGCTGCGCGTAACCGTGGCTTGGGGAGAGGCTGAGAGAAAGCGGGCAGCGGCATTCTCACGCCCGGGCCTCCCACTGCGGAATTCTAAGGCAAATGGATGCATGCGAAGTCAAGGGTGTCGCAGAGTTCTCACGCATCGCTGGTGGGAAGGGGAAACAGTGCAGCAGCATCGGAAAGCATCCCAGCAGCTTCTCGCACTGCAAGTTCAAGTTAACATTCCACTCCAAGGGGTTGAAAGATTTTAAAAAATGTAAGTCCACACGAACCTTGCTCTTGAAGCCTCCTAACGGCATTATTCATAATAGCTGAAAAAGTGGAAACAACCCAAATGTCCATCAGTGGATGACTGGATAAACCAAATGGGGTGTGGCCATACAGTGGAATATTATGCAGCCATAAAAAAGGAATGGAGTGCTGATACGTGCCACGACCTGGATGAAGCCTAAAAACATTGTGCCCAGTGAAAGAAGCCAGTTACCAAAGGTCTCACACTGTATGGTTCCAGGTGTAGGAAACAGCCAGAAGAGGGAAATCCATTAACACACTCCAAAAAAGGAACAATAAACACAAAGATCAGAATAGTTGTCTTTCCCACCTTGAAGAGGGGTAGATAGGGTTGGAGATGGTAAAGAGAGATGTAAGTTTTAGGTAATGTTTTCATTCCTGGGTGGGGTGGTGGACACACAGGGGGAGTTCATTACACTGTTAATAATAAATTCAGGAAATTAAAGACAGCCAAGCATGGACTAATGATGAGGGTGTGTCATGAACCAAGGATTATAATTAATCCAATTTTGAACTTAAACAGTGAGGAAGGAAATTCCCACATGAGGCAGAGGAGGGGGATAGTCATGGGCTTGGAATTCTGCCCAGAGACACTGAAATGCGGTATCGGTGGTGCCCCCGTAGAGCCGGGAGGCAAGCGGGATGGGCGGAGGGTGTCCACAGCCCCTTGGTCATCTCTGCCACGCAGACCCAAGGAACAGCCGCGTTCCTCATCCCCTGCTGCCCCATCACGAGGAGAAAGAGAACCCTGAGTTGCCCACTGGGTTGTCAGAGAAAAGGCAAAGGGAGAAAAGCTCACAGGTTCTCATTACTTCCAGTTCCCTGCAAACCTCAGAGAAATGGCCGGAGCGGACCTGGAATACCCAGGTGGTTGCTAGGACTTATCGTGGCAATTTCCCAAGGTTGATTACAAAACGCCGATGTAGAGCGTTCCCACGGTTACTGTTTGAACACATGCCCTGTCCGGTGTTTCTCCTGCACATCTGGGAAGTCACCTCTCTCCATCCCCCAAACCCTGGTCTCGGTACCATCCTTCGTCCCTCCTACCCCGGATCATGGGTCGCACTTGCCTTCCAAATTTCTCAACTCCTTGCAATCTCCCGTCAGATTCTGCCACAGGAAGTACTTCAATGCCCCTTAAGGATGGCATTCCTACTCAATGGCACCACACCATGACCTTCACCCTGCCTCCTCTTCCACAGCCCTGTCGCCATAGCAACCCTGCCCGCCCGTGTTCCTCCGTGCGGAACTGTGAGAAACTCCCCCAAACCCACCATGCCTTTTCACCTGCCCGACCCCTGCTCCCTGTAACTGAAATGACGGTCACCCTGTCCTCTTTCTGCTCGGCCGTGTCACTTCTCCAGAAGGGCTCCTGAGCTAAAGGCCATCCTACAATGACACATCACATCATAATCACTGGTTTGCTTCCTGGTTGCATTATCTCCTTCATTCTTCCCATTAGAGTTGAGTTTGCTTGCAGGCAAGACTGCCTTTCTCCTCACTGCGTCTCCATCCCCCCATTATCTCAAACCCCTTCCCCGTGGCCCACCCACTGACACCTGAGACATACAGATGTTCGTGTTTGAGGAATGAATAACTAGCTAAACGTGCAAGTTACAGTAAGGCTCTCTCTCTTGCATTCTTGGATTGGCAAGAGACAGAGTATAATGAAGCCCGAGGTGGGTAGGATTATAAGAATTGAAGTATCGGTGTAACCCGAGGACTCGTTTTCCACGCTCCCGGCAGAAGGTAAGGGGCGCGCCTTTGTGGATACTGCGCATGCGCCCACCCACACCCTCCAAACCTCAGCTCTTGACTTACTCAAGCTTCGGTTTCAGCAACAACCAACCCACGTCTCACAGGTGCAAAAGCTGAGCTTCATCACACATTTCCTAAGTAGTAGAAGCAGGATTCGCATACAGGCTTATCTTACCCGAAAGCCACTGTTGTTATTTGAGATACCATGTTGACACCGTTTAAAGAGACAAATGATCACTCTGAGACTAGAATGCACCCTGGGAGTTGAGCTCCGTGGAGGTTGCTTCCTTGTCACAGACAGACCCCCACAGGGCCGCTGGATTCCCACTGCTAGTCCCAGGTGAGACCCTCCTGCAGCAGCAGGTAGCCAGGACAGGAGCACCAGAGAGAGGCCGCTGCCCCTCCCTGCCACCCGGATGTTGCTTCTCAGACCAGCCGAGATTCTAGGCAGCTGACCTGAGAGCTGCAAACACCAACAGTCAGAGGTAAGGTAGCAAAGCCACGAGCTTGCTCCAGCAACTAGTGGTCTCTGCTGCCCCCTAGCGCCCTGTTTCGTCCCAACAGGCCTTGTGGATTCAAATAAAGCCAAGTACTTGGTACCACCACACTCGTCTGCGTAGTAACCGCTCTTTTCCTGTTTTGCTCCACAGAGGGTGGCTGCTAGCTGGTTTTTCTGAAAACACGTATAAAGAAAATTTAAAACATTTTTTTTCATGACTAGGGCACTCTGCAAATGGGTAAAGGAAAAGAGTCGTGCATGTATCCCGCCTTCCCTACACGGACTGCATTTTAGGGTCCGTGGTGACTAAGGCAATGCTTTTCTTTACAGAAGAACTGCAGCTTATAATAGAACAAGTGGTGGAACTAGAAGTCACCGTTTTTCAATCCTGAATGATGAAACTGTTAGGTTAACGGCTCATGAGGGACTTTATAATGAGTCAATCAGGCTGACAACACCCGGACGCACTTACGAACCTGTACATCCCAAGAAATGGGACTTATTGCCTCCTTACCTGACGCACCAGGACGCACAACACAATCCACCGGTGAAGGCTTGTAGCCCATCTCCAAAGGTGGACCGGAATTCAATCAGGCGTCCAGACCTCACTGCCTTTTTAGGAAAAATAAAAGGTTTAGCAGGGTTTTTCAACGTCTATACTATCGACATTTGGGACCCACCAACTCTTTGTTGGGGAGGCAGGGCTGTTCTGTGCATTGTGGGACGTTCAGCGGCCTCCCTGGTCCCCACTTACTTCACGTCAGTAGCACGCCCGCGGTCGTGACGACCGAAAATGCCCAGACCTTGCCGCGTGTTCCCTGAGAGGCAAGATCACCCCCGGTGAAACGCCACTGGGTTAGACACCCGAGTTCAGTGACGCCATGAGGGGACAATCAGCCCGTGGAGGCCTGATGGGGGCAGGAGCAGGAAGACATTGCGGCCGGGCTAGGGCGGTCCTACGGGTCCTGGGGTGGTCCAGAGCACCTCGGGGGACGGGCCAAAATTTCATCACAACTGTATCGCATTGTTGTGATACATCGTTGTAACAGGAGGCTTCCCGCTTCCCTTCTCAGACGTCGGCCCCTAATAAACACTCTGCACGTGGAACTCCGTCTCATCCTCTACCTCGGGGGGGGGAGGGCAGCTGCCAACACTTGCTTAGTTTGATGCGTTGCTACCACCACTGAGAAAGTATACATTCCGGTGGCCCCGCAGAGAATTTGCAGAAATGGGAGCCCGGAAACTCTTACAATCATTCATAATGCCAAATTAATAAATATTATTCTTCATTGTATTGTATAAAACTATGACACTAAAACTCGTATTTTTTGCAAATCAAAATGTTATGTTGTTTCTCATGTATCACCATTACCCTTATTACACTTTATAAGAAAAAATATTTTTAAATTTAAAAAAGCTTTGTATTTTAAGGGCACTTCCCCGCCCCCCCCCCCCCCCCCGAGTTTTGATGAATGTGGCCACAGTGTCCTTTTGCATGGAACCTTGAAATTCTGCAGCTGGCCTGCAGGGGGAGATCATGGACCACTAACTCGGTTTTCTCGTAGGCGTTAGAAGACAGAATCTTACTGTAATCTACTATCAGGTATTTACACCTTAAGTGGATGAATTTTTAGATCCTTTTATGAAATAAGGTTTTAAAATGTGTCAGAAGAGATGCTGGGGGTCCTGCCTGCACGGAAAACAGAGCGAAGACCACTAAGAAGGGGAAGGGTGGTGAGGGGGGAACCAGGGGCCTAAAGATAAACTCCAAGTTTTACCCAGAATTACGTTTTGTTAGCATCTCGTTCCTGACGCAAATGTGAACAACACATACAGCCCAGCTATTAAAAATTTAAAGTTAGATGTCATTTATTTGAGTCATTAAAAATAAGCCCCCCTCACTACCAGAAGCACACTAGAACCACATACAAAACCAAACAGTCAGGAGCACCACTCAGCCTCTTGTTTGAGACCAGTTTCGAATGCCCGGCTCTAGCGATGTGGAACTGCTTTTCCCTGTCTGAGGCCCTCTAGAGAGATGTCAGTGTCCCAGGGTTCTAAGCTGAGCAAAACACCTGCCGTTAATGAGAATGTGCCGATACTGTCCTTTTCCACGTGGGGTGCAAAGAACTAATGTGCAGTTGGTCTATTAGCACAAGGCTAGTAAAAATGCATCGCTGGTAAAGTGAATGCAACCTCCTGGGAGAGTACCAACAGTCAAACTTGTTTTTTACGTTCTGTTACTTGTATAGGTGATATTTCTATTTGTACAGCCATCTCGTGCAAAAAATGAAGACTTGTGAGTAAAGCTCTAGCTAAGGGGAGAGGAATGAACCAAACCAGCCCCCACTGTAAACAAATTTCAGACTCAGGGCCTCCTGGAAAGGGAGGGAGAAGAACTAACCCAAGAAATTTTGCCAGCAGCATTTACAGCATATACTATGCTCAATTAAGACCAAAAATTCTGTCAACAAAGTTGGAACACTGGTGAGTCGTTTTCACCTTCACGGTGGTGTAGGCGGGCCATTCAAGAGAGAGAATGAGGAATGGAGAAGCGGGTGAAGGACCAGGGGCTCCCCCTTCCTCCTTGTTGGGAAAGGGAACCGCAAATCTGGAAGGAAGAGACTTTGCAGCCAACCACACAGCACTGCTTTGTGGTTGAAGGTCGAGTACAATTTTTCATCAGTTAAAACTGCATTTCCTTTATCCACTTTCATAAAGTGAGAGTGACTTATTTACCTATCTTTTAAATAACTTACTTCACCCAATTAAAAGAGAGCCAGCAGGTGGTAAAATTGGTTCAGAGAGAACTTAAGATCATAGGTGCAGAATAATGAACGTTGAAATGTCTGGAGTACACACGGAACTGCTAAATGTCACACAGGACAATAAAACTATAAACTTTAGGATTGGAGGGGTTAGGTTTTGGTTGGTTTAGGTTTTTTGTTTGTTTGGTTTAGTTTTAGTTTTTGTTGTTTTGGGTTTTTTTTTTAACCTGAAGAAATTATTTGCCTCTGTACCAGACAAAAACGTACACATTAACACGTAACTTTGCGGAGCCTGAACCCTATACAACAGCAAATAACAGATCGCACGCAGGTGCTTCCCCTAAAGTATAGTGAAGTCCTTGGGCGGGCTCGCTAGCTGCAGTGTGACAATGTCCTCTGTAGGAAGAAGGGACAGACACTGCCCGCCGTGAAGGTCTGAACTCACTGGTGCCTCCGTGGCAATAAGCACCGAGATCTGCGTTTCTAAATAGCATTCTCCGTCCTGGCCGGGTAGCTCAGTTGGTTAGAGCGTTGCCCTAATACGCCAAGGTTGTGGGTTCGACCCCTGGTCAGGACACGTGCAAGAATCAACCGATGAATGCGTAAATGAGTAGAACAGCAAATCAGTCTCCCTCCCTCTCTCTCTCAAATAAATAAATACTTAAAAGTTTAAATAGTTTAAAAGTAAATACCACTCTCTACTGAAAGGACCGGAGGCTCCCTGAAGAAGCGTCCTTTGGAGGTGAAGTCTCCCTCCCTCCGCTCCAGGCTGCGTGTGGCCAGGTGCCAGAGGCCTCCAGAGGCGCCATTTCCCCTCGTCCCACCGGTGACGTCCCCACCCCTGTTCACACGTTGTCACTGTCGCAGGGAGACTTTCGGAGAGGCCTGTGGCTGCTGTTCAGGAAGCGCTGTGACCCCCCACCACTCTCGGAGACTGAGAGAGGCCACCCCGATCCAGTGCACCAGCCGTCTGACTGTGAGTGGGGAGCATCGTGGAGGAAACTGGAGGATCAGTGTCTTCTAAACCATTAAGTCCTTGTCCCTCAGGCCTCCTCTGAGGGGCGAGCAGGCTCTGGGGAGACTGGACAGGCCGGGGGTCTGCAGTCCTGGTCAGTGCTGCTTCCAGGAAGGAGCCTTCGGGGCCGGGCATACCTGTGGTCGGGCTCAGGGCCCGCGGCACCGGGACACCGGCCCCTTCCCTGCCCAGCCTGGCCAGACGGTCACCTCCTGCACCTGCTTCTGTGGCTCCCTCGCTGTCCTTTCAAGGCCCCACAGGATCTGGCCCCTCCCCACCTCCCGGCCCGACCTCTGGCCTCCTCTTGCCGCCCTCACCACAGCACCACCGTCACCCTCTCCTTACACACCCACCTCCATCCCCGGGCAGAAACGCCCATGAATGTTTCTGTCTTTTCACGCTTCCCCGTACTTTGCGGTTGGCCTCGAAATGGCTGGGCTGTGTGGTCCCAAGCGGACTCCCAGAGGGGTCCCACCCCACCCCACCCCCCATACCAGCCCCAGCTCCCACACCTTCAAGGCGGACCAGAGAGCGCAGCCCCCTGGAGGCAGGGCAGGGCCTTCAGCTGAGACCACTCTCTCCTTTCCCCTGGAGCCCAGCTCCCCAGGGCCCCACCCTGACTGCCCGAGTCAGGGGGACGGCGCACCCCGCCCCACCCTAAACGCAGACGTCGGGAAACAATCCTGGTAGCTGTTAAATCCGGGCTCCTCCTCCCCGAGCAAGGGCCCCTTCAGCAGGACACAGGGCCCCAGGCAGCTCGCCCCCACCTTGTCTCAGTGGCTCGGCCCTTAAAGACACAGGCACACTTTGCCTTGCATAGGTGGCTTTGTCTATGATTCCTTATTCAATAAACCGTTACCAAGGACCCAGCAGCTGTCACACACTCCGCCAGGATCACAGATTAGTAAGGAAGGCGCGGTCCCTTTCAGTCCCTTACAGGCCCTTCCAGGCCAGTGGGTGACCAGACACGTAAAGGTCTCCACTGCCTGCCCTCCGAGCTGTGACAGAAGCCACATATAAGTGCCAAGGTGATACTCTCACTATTCATCACCGTGCTTCCCGATGTGCATTCAAACACACAGCACAGAACACACATCCCAGGGCACTGAGGTCTTGATGTGACGCGCATTTCTGATCACTTCCCAGACTGCCGGGGTGGAAGGAAATTCCTCCCAGACACTCCCTGCTGCGTATGAGTCAGGAGCCCAGGCCTCGCAGCCTAACCCGGTCAGAGCAGAAGACGAGAGGGCCCCGCAGCACCTTCTACGCCCGAGCAGAGGCTGGGCACAGCCTGCAGATCGGGCACCGGGATGGGCCGCCCGCTCTGGGAGTCTGAGTCCCCAGGCTGGCCTGGGCCTCCCCTGCGGTCACAGCCCTCCGCTGGCCTGGCCTCCTTGTCTCCAGCAGTTAGATAAGAGGAGACAGTCCTGCCCTCCTCCTCGTTTTTGAGCTTGTTTCGTCCATGATTCTCATTCCCGCCACGAAGAGCTGCAGAAGCTCCCTGCTCTGAGTCAGACGCTGTGTGGCCATGTCCCCGAGGGGTGACTCAGACCCGGGCTTTGCTCAGAGGCCCCGTTTGTAATTTGCCTTTATTTGGACCTGGCAGGGCAGAGCCTCTCTGGGAGGAAGGAGGCTTAGAGCTGGACACTCGGACCGCGCCAGCCTGGGGTGGGCTCTGCAGCTGCCCGGGCTCGTCCACAGAGAGTTGATGCAAAGCAATCTCTCTCCAGGCTTTACATCCGATGCAGATTTAAGTTATAAATATCACCTGGACATCCCGGCTGGTGCGGCTCAGTGGATTGAGTGCTGGCCTGTGAACCAGAGGGTTGCAGATTCGATTCCCAGTCAGGGCTCATGCCTGGATTGTGGGCCAGGTCCCCGGTAGGGGGACCACATGAGAGGCAACCACACAATGTTGTTTCCCTCCCTCTTTTTCTCCTTCCCTTCCCCCTCTCTAAAAATAAGTAAATAAAATCCTTAAATCATCTGGACAATGGCTTGGGTACCATTAAGCATCACTAGCTGTGTCTGGAAGCCCAAGTGACTATTCTAACAAATAAACAAATTTAAGTCCATAGAAAAGTCTCCTTTGTATAGATATATATTGAGCAGAGAAAAGAAAACAAGTAACACATCCAAAGT